TCTGTACCAGGGGTTCAGCAGAGCACTGCTTTGCCTGCCGGTTTGCAGCCACGCCACCGCAGGCTGTCGTCATGTTGCTCTCACAAGCATCCAAGCCTCCTTTACACTGGGATCGGAGACGTCCAAGAAATCCAGGGGTTAAGAAGTAATACTGGTGATCCAGGAGGTGTTACTGAGTCCTGCCCCAGCGGGGTGCTAGGGCGTGCCATGCTGCAGGAGGCTCCCTCGGTCAGAGGAGCGGTGGCCATTCAAGGTCCAGCGTGCTATTTGGAAGTGTAGCTGTGTGACAGCCCTACCGGAGCTAACTAGAGGAGCGATCGCCACCAGAAACGGGGCTGATTTATTGTAAAGCAAACGAAGAACAGGGAGAAGTTCTAGCTTAGTGCTGGTAAAGTCTCAATATTTGAACTAATCCATGGCCAGCCATGGCATGCCACTGTAGTCACTATGCTGTGCACTGGCCACCTGGAATTCCTGGTGGGAGAGAGAACGCGGAATCTCTTGCCCCCAAAAGGACAGGGGAACAACGGTGGAATCCTGGGCAGTGGGTAGCCGTACCAGGCCTATGACACAAAGTTGAGCAGTTCTGATTCCAGCCAGGAGAGGGCAGCAGACATGCACACACGTGCGCGCCTGTTCATGATTGCCTCTCCCAGGGTCTGCGAGGATCCATTTCCAGCGCGCACAAAGAGCTCCGGGGGAATGTAACGCGGACCACAGGCCCTTGCTGTGTGTTTGAATCACCGGCTGATCCTGGCACAACCCACGTGGAGAGTCAGGGAACGGTGGGGCAGGCAGAGCAGCAAACACCTTACGGAAATGGGCCTGTCGTATGCTTACTGCAGGGCTCCCCACAAGGAGCCAGCCGGGTTAATGATCAGCCACCTGGACAGCTGGTCTCAAGGGAGCTAGTATGAACAGCGGGATCCAAGCCGAGGTGCAGCCACAATCTCTTGGGTGGAGGTGATGATTTAGTCTGGGTGCTCTAAAGCTCAGAGGAGTAGGGTCTCCCCAGCCACATCACTCTGTGTATGACCTGCCTGCCCCCTGTCTGGCACTAAGCCAGCCCCACACCCCTGCTGAGGAAGCCACATCCCACCCACCTGGGGGAGTGAATTCCCACGCCCCAGGAGTCTGAGCAGAGGTGAAAGTAAGCCGGTATGCCCTGGTATGGCATACTGGCAAGAGCTGGTGCGCCGTACCGGGGTGGCCCGGCTTCCCCAGGGGGCAATTTAAAGGGTCTGGGGATCCCAGCAGGGGGTGGAGCCCCAGGCCCTTTAAATTGCCACCAGAGCCCCACTGCTGGAGCCCTGGGGTAGGGCTGCGGGACTCTGGGGGCTATTTAAAAAGTCCGGGGCTCCCGCTGCCTCTGCCGCCCCGGCCCTTTAAATAGCCGCTGGAGCTCCGCTGCTTCCCCAGGGCTCCGGCAGCTATTTAAAGGGCCGGGGCGGTAGAAGCAGGGGAGCCCCGGGCCCTTTAAATAGCCCCCGGAGTCCTGGGCTGCTGCTGCTACCCCGGTGGGTGGGTGGGTGGGGAAGGGGGAGGAGGAGGAGGCACTTACCTTACAGGGTGGGCTGGGGCCGGCTCTGACCCCCTCAGCCCCGCCCCTTCCACCCTAGGCCCCACCCCTTCTGGGGGCCAGAGCTGGCCCCAGCGTACCGGTAAGCCACTGGACTTACTTTCACTCCTGAGTCTGAGAGAACCATGGATGGGCCCCCTCCAGACGCAGCCCGGCAGGGATGGGAGCTAGGAAGCCAGGCTGAGCAGGGATTCTGACAGCCGCCTGGTTGTGTTTGCCAGACCGAGTGGCCAACCCCAGCACACAGCAGTTCTGTCTGTAGGCGAATTCAGAGGGCTTCTGCATCACCCCAACCCCTCTCGGTAGGATGAGAGCAGCCTCTATTGTACAGCTGCGTGAGGCTGTGGGTGGGCGGTTGGGATTTTTCCAGCTGCAGAATCAACCATACCCCCCCCAGTGCCCAGGTCTGTGGATTCAATGCTCTTTGCAACTAGAAAAACAAGAACCGTCACCCTAAGGCTAAGTCGAGACAGGTTTTTAAATACGACCTGGCCCCCTAATCTAGACATGGCCTGGGGAAAGGAAGACATCCCCCAGGTGACGGTTAATGACTTAGTGGCCTTGGAAGTCTGCACTTCCCAAAAGCCACCACTACATTTCCGCTCTCCTGCTCTCCCTCTGACTCCCAGCAGGGCCCGGGCCGTACTGTCTAAGCCCAGTAGGCACTACGTGGAGCCTGCGTTGGTCACCTCAGCAGAGAGGCCAAGTGGCCCAGAGACCCATCTTACACCTCTTGGGCGTGGTCACTCCGGGGTGGTCAGGAGAGAGGCAGCCCAGCAGGGCAGTGTTGGGAAGCCAACCTCGCGGCAGCTTGTACTTAGTCTGGGCATAAGCTGAGGACTTTCGTCTTTGAGGCCATTGGTCCAGAACTTTTTCCCAGGGCTGCCGTTCAGTCCCCAGCAAGGGGAGGGCTCTGGAGATCCCAGCATGCTCTGTGCCATTGTCAGCACCTGCCTGACAGCCAATAACCGGTGCCCAGAGACCCCGGGGGCAGGAGGAGGGATTAAAAATCAGATGCTTTATTTTTAAATATCGGGCAGCAGGGGCCAAACGCTGAGTCCTGCCGCTGGGCCGGACAGCTGGTGGCACACACAGACCTGGACGTGCAGGCTTTTTGCACCAGCAAAGTGATTTGTACCGGCTCATCCAGCGGCTGGGAGCCCACCTATGCAGTGTACAAGATGGGGGTGCACCCACTCCTGGGTGTGCTCCAAATTGTACGTTAGGAGACAGATGCAGACTCGAAGCTGGCTGCAGGACTGGCCCTGTGTATCCCTTTCAGGGTATTCCCAGCGGGGGTCTCATAGGAGAAGCTGACAGAGGAGGCTGTTTGAGGGTGCAGGTGTTGTTCGGTGCTGAGCTGGGGGTATCATCCTGCCACGTTGAGCTCTTTGGATCCAACGCAAGGGCGGTAAATGTGAAGCAGAGTAATGCAGTCGTGTGAGATAAATCCCACGTATCAGATACGGGCCAACCCGGCAGTCCTGGCGAGGGGTGGGCTGATTGGTGCCAGTGGAGACGCAGCTTGGCCCTGTATTCGCTCCTCGAGCCTCTCCTGGCTCCCCCACAATGGACTTCGGGGCCAGCCTTAGTGTGTTATCTCCCTGTCGGCCGGACACTCCAATGGCAGGTGTTTCCTTGAATGACGCTCAGGTGCACAGCAGAGAGTAACGCTTCCACAACACCCTGCAGGTGACAGGAGGGGAAGGAGCGGAGAGGGGCAGGAAGGGGTCGCAATGCGACTGGCCCCCAGCCGACTGAAATCTCTATGGGTGAAGTGGGGCCACTGAAAGCAGCTCTGTCTGCTGCTAGCTAGGGGAGAGCCATTGGAAATAACACACTGCTAGCTAGGCCTGCAAGGGGCTGGGCGGGGCGTCTTACAGCCGGTAATTAATGAGCATCCCGAACAGCACCGTGCCACCTCCGGATGCAACTGCCACCTCCTCTCTGCTGGCAACAGCTTGTGATCCTAGCTGAACTGGCACCCTCCCCGCCCCCAGACAAACACCCAGGCTTGCTCTGCGCTCTGATCAGCTCCCCCACCAGGGCATTTCAGGCTGGTGACGCGAACGCTGGCCCCAGCCAGGGCGCCATGGAGGGCTGAGAACCCTCTCCCAAAGGGCCATGCTGTCTACCGACAGTGGGATCGCAGTGATGTGTTCTCATGGACTTCGATGATGACGCCCCCATTTGGCTTCTGCTCTCCCTCTTTGCCATGTCCTCCGAGGGTGCGTCTACACTGCAAAAAACAACCTGCAACAGCGAGTCGGAGTCCGGGGCATGTGGGGCTCGCGCTCGAGCACTGAACAGAGCAGTGTAGACGTTCCCGCTCAGGCTCTGAGCCCTGCCCCCTCGCTGGGTTTCAGAGCCCGGGCTCCAGCCCAAGGGGGAACGTCTACACTGCTTTTTTCAGCACCACAGCACGAGCCCGAGTTTGTCGTCCGGGGCTCTGAGACTCGCTGCCGCAGGGGTTTTTTTTGCAGTGTAGACAAACTCTTAGAGGCTTTGGAGCAAAACATCCCTCCCTTTGGATTGCATGTTGCCCCGTCAGGCTGGACGCTGATAGGCCATTGTGGAGAGGTGTAAGTGACTCCAGCCTGGGCCAGCTAAGGCTCTAGCACCGTGAGGATGGGGTTCCCACCAGGGCACCCCTTGGACTTCTGTCAGGGGCCTCCTCATCAGGAGATGAGAAATCAGGGTGCTCCCCCGGCACCCTAGCTCCGCCTCCTCCCCAGTCAGCTCCTCCCACTTCTTAGGCAGCACTGGCTCCTTGGGGCCCCTGGTATAAGGGAGCAGAAAGCCCCCACATCCCATTGCGGTGCAGACTTCCTCTCGGGGGCTTCTGCTGTGCTCTAGGCCAACCTGGACTCCTGTGTCCACCCAGCCCTTGTCTTTTTGTGTTAGTGCCAAGGCAAACTCAGAACCCTTTAACGGAGCCCCCTCCCCAAACCTTTGGGGGTTCACGTAAAATAGCGCTTGGACTCGGACGGGCCAGCACCCAGCTGGTCTGGGCCGTCCGACACATGGACCTATCTCTATCCGGTGTCTGAACGGATAGAGAGGAGTAATACCAAAGGCACCACAGTCCTGGCTGATCTCTCACTGTATCCACTCATGTGCCCCGGGCTCAGACCTCGGGCCCTGTCTATTTATGTCACAGCTCTGCGTTGGTCTTGCTTACCCGTCACGTCTCCTGCCTGCTTTGGAGCTGCCTTTCAAAGCCTGTATCTGAGGCACTAGCAACGACCCGGGAGAGTCCCTGCTTCTCTGTTCCCTCTTGATTTTTGCACTTTTGATCCTCTTCCCCAGCCGGTGAATGTAGCTGGGGTGGGGGCTCCCTGATTTCATCCCCTGGCTTGGCGGAGCATTCCCTGACACTGGAGCCCCGGTGCCTAACGCTCTGGAATTGGAGGTTGTTTACCTGGCGTTTTGGCTTTGGGTAGTTTGCTGAGTCATCTTGCCCGTCGTCGTGTTCTTGCCCGTCGTCATCAAATATCTGCTGTTCTTCCATTACTGTAATTGCCCTAATTACGGAAAACTGCGCAGAACTAGGTATGGGCTGAAGAGACTCATCAGATTCCAGCTTGCTCGGTATGAGCGTCTCTCCAAAACCGCCACCCCCTGCCCCGGCAAGTACATCAAACCAGGGAAAGGCTCCCCAGGGGGTGACCAAACTGGTCCTGAGCTTCTACCTATGTCTCGAAGCAAAGCCGGAGTGGAACATGAGGGAGGCTTCACACCACACAGCAGGGCAGGGAATGGAGCCAACCGCTGGGTCCTTCTTTAGCTCCATAGGGAATGTGGACAGGGCCGGCTTTAGGAAGTGCGGGGCCTGATTCGAACAGTTTCGACAGTGCCCCGGCAGGGATGACTAAAAAAAAACACGTAAAAAAAAAAACGTGGGCTTGTACTCACCGGGCCGCGCTCCTAGTCTTTGGCGGCGGGTCCTTCACTCGCTCCGGGTCTTTGGCGGCACTGAAGGACCTGCCACCAAAGACCCGGAGCGCTGCCGGGTGAGTAAAAATTAAAAAGGCGCCTCTAGCCAGGGAAGGGATTCTCTGCCACTTGCCCCCACTCTGGGCGGCCCTGCCACTGGGCGCGGGGCCCGATTCGGGGGAATTGGTGGAATTGGCCTAAAGCCGGCCCTGAATGTGGGGAGGCAGGATCTAACTGACCTGGCAGAGATTTGCCCAGGGTTAGTGCCACAGGGGTTCCAGACCTTGGCTCTGTGCCTTAGCCGAAGGCCAGAGAATCTGCCGTCCTCGGCTGACGGCCGTGCAGCTCCAGGGACAAGGACCAGAAGTTCAGTGGGCATCCCCCTTATTTGCAAAAGAAAATTCAGCAGCAGCAGCCCCGTTGCCTGTGGGCGCTATGGTAACTAAACAATTCTAGGGCAATGGATCTTTCCTGATTATCCAGGGCCAAATCCCAGACTCCTTGCTCAGCCCTTCCCTGGGTGAAACGATTGATTTCCCTTGAGTCCAGACTGAGTAAGTGTCCTGGGATCTGCCCTGCCTCATGCCTGTGGAGTGACTCCAGCGGCAGATCCATGGTGTAGAGGGTCCTGTTGCCTGCTAGAAGGAAGGTCAGCCTGGGCTGGAGCTAGCACTGCCAATGACCACCAGCTGCAGCAGGGCATCTCCCTGGGGCCTGGGGTGCTGCTCAACCCCGTTCAGGACGTTGGCTGGCAAAAGGCCCAGGCAGCCCTGCAGCAGATTTCCTGCTCCACCCACTGCTGCCCCCTTCCCCGGGGAGCCAGAAGTCTGACGTGTGACTTCCAATGCCAGCCTCTCCCAGGATGAGTCATCCAGGCTGGATCAGAGCTCCACCAGCAGCCCCAGCTTCTCCCCAGCTGGAGTCACCCACTCCCAGCCCAGCCTCTGCACTGCAGCCAGCATCCCCCACCCAGGGCTTAGGTCGGGCGCCTACGAGACCTGGGTGTCAGGTGTGACCTCAGCCAGCGTCCCCCCAACGGGGCTTGCCATGGAAACCCTGGGTGCGACCACCCTGCTCGGCCCCTAGTCCCCTGTAGGAGTGAGGCAGGGAGACTGGATGCCACTGGAAGCGTCCGGTTCCCATACAGTGGAGGTGATCATGCCTAGAGGAGTTACAGCCAGGCGGGCCAGGGATTCCTGTTCCGTTCCCAGATGTCACCCCTCTCCGGAGGACGCTGTTACATCGATGAGCAGGAGCATCCGGGGGGCTGGTGGGGGAGCGATTAGTAAAAAAAACTCCAGTGACTCCAATCTCTTGGCTGCTGACTCACCCCCCAGCTGCCCCTTGGTAACTCTCCATGCAGCTATGAGCTGTCAATGCATTACAACGAGAGTACCTGAGGGCAGCGTGAAATTAACTGAGTTTGCCCTCCAGATCATTAACCTGGAGACTGCCACACTGATTGCATACAGCACCCTGAGTTTAATGCTGCTTAAAAGACTCGGGTTTGGAACGTGCTTGGAGCTGAGCGCGGGATATGCCTGCTTGCCCCAGTGCCCTTGGCCCGAGGCCAGTGGGGCAGTGCGAGTGCACATGACATCATTGTGTGTCTCCCGCTCCGCCAGCTGTTCCTGCCCTGTGTGGCTGAGCAAGCACCCTGGTGCTTTCAGCAGCGAGACAGTGACACAGCCGTTGTTTCAGGGCGAGATTCTGCACCGGCCTACGCCCTGGCCGGAGCCAGCGGTCTCTGCCGGGGTGTGGATAGATGCAGAATTCAGCCTGTGCTCGCTCAGCAATCCAGCTGAACAAGAAGGGCCTCTCTGCAAACCTGTCGGGCTGCATTCAGCCGTGCCACTGAAACTGCCAGAGCGGTCAGCTGTGCCCTGCCTCGGGCCCAGGCGGGGAGGAATGGGCTCAAGCCGGAGCTCTCCCTCCTGACTGTGTCTCCTGGGGATGAGAGGGAGACAGGCGAGGTTACTGCCCAGAGCCGCGTCTGAGCAAGGGCCCAGGACCTGCCATCTGGAGGGACCCAGTCTTCTCTCATTCAAAGCTGCACAGCCGGCGTAGAGGTCAGGGATTGCACCTCAGTCCCGGCCTGAAGCCCTCCCCCCCCCCCCATCCAGATGCCCGTGCAAGACCTGTGTGCTCTGGACAAGGCTAGCGGGGCTATAGCAAATCACGGTCATCGGAATAATTCCCCCTCCCCAATAAATGTTTACGATCTAAACCAGCTCTTCCCTTGTTCCATGGAAACACAATCAAACCCCAGCCCTTTGCCACCCGGCTTCTAAGACACCTTGATTCTAATGCCAAATAGAAAGAGGGACTACTTTGCTCGGTGGAAGGTTATTTCAGAGGTGACCACATAATAAGTGCAGTGTCTCGTAGGGAACGGCGGGATGTGCTGTGCAGGGTTGCACCGTGGTTGGCCGTTCTCGTTAGTCCTGCAGCCACTGGGAGGGTTCAGCCGAGGATGCCCGGCCCCAGAGCCCGTTAGCTGGCAAGTTCTCAATTTAAACTCCCTCTGCGGCTGAGGGGAGGGAGCAGGCTTGGTGCGCCCAGGCCTCTGGGTGTATTTCTCTTCCCTCCGGCCTTATCTCCAGCGAGTTATGCTGGATAAATACATGTCCGTAATTACATGCAGAAAGCCATGCTGCTGCAACATTCAGGTTGTGCCGTTCTGAGATGCGATGGCAAACACAAAGGCTCCTAGGGCAGCACTGCCCAATCTTATGGCATTTGGCGATTTTTCTTAAAGCGCCAGCTCCTGGACTCCTGTGATTATGAGAGAATCTCAACTGTCAATTTAAAAATAATTATGTTTCTAGCCCTCATGGTTGTGGAGAAAAACTTGAAAATAATAGTAATACCACCTGGCTACTACTTAGCATCAGTAGAGCTCAAAGCGCTATACAAAAGGGGGTTGTCAGTATCATTATCCCCATTTTACAGATAGGGAAACTGAGGCACAGCACAGTGAAGTGACTTGCCCACAGTCACCCAGCAAGCCAGTGGGAGAGCCAGGAATAGAACCCTGATCTCCTGAGTCCTACTCCAGTACTCTATCCATAAGGGAACGCTGCCTCTCATGTGACCGCCCCTCAAAAAAGGTGGAAACACAAGGAAACAAATACAAAGAACCCCACATTTGTTATTTTAAAAGCCAATCACAATTGGCAGGGGGGGGCCTGCCCCGTTGCACTTATGCTTTTCCTGTTTCTCTTAGGGCCGGAGTCGCGCACTCTTCCTTGGTCTGAACAGTGCCCCACGCAGTCGTTTTCATTCCAGTGGCACAACGTACAGCATAAATACTATTCAGAGCCAGGGCTTGTCTACACATGAAAATTAATCCAGACTAAGGGAGGGCAGAATCAGGCCCTAAACATAAAATCTAACCTCTGGCCTTTTGTCTCCTAACCTGAGCCCTAAGGTTTGTAGCCTTGATCACTTACGTAGGGAGCTTCCACCCGGCCTTTACTAGGCTGCGTTAACTTTAAGTTAATTGGCAATCAAGGTAAAACAGTCTAGTGTAGACAGGTCCTTTAGGTTTTAAAGTACAGACCCCACAATCCCCAGGATGTGCAGCGCAGTGGAGTTAAGCTTCCTGTAGGAACTCTTGCATTTCATGTGTTTTTTGACAGCTGTGCCACCTTCCTGTTGAAACAGCTGTTCTGGCATTTAATGCCTTTGTTTGGTTTTTGTAACCGGACTGGCTCTTGCTTTCACCACCAGCACATTTCAATGGGTCCATCAGGCTCCGAAGGCCAAATGAATGGGGGTGGCTGCAGGGTGCGCACACCTCATTGAGGTGGTAGAGCGGTGGCTGGGCACCTTTGCTGGAGACAGCTACCTGCCAAGAGTTCGAGCTTTACAATGGGCTAAGAGCGAAACAGGGGGGCCTGAAATGCAAAGCCCATTGCTAGGTGAGTCCTGTGGGGGCAGAGATCAGCACAATGCTGTCAGCATGAAATAGTCCCTTGAGAGCAAAATTCGTGTGCATGTTACTGGTAGGAGAAGGAAACGGATGAGCAGATCATGGGGAATGGGGCTGTACCAGGCCAGCCCCAAACACTGGCCCAGCTACTGCGCTGGCACGCCGCTATGAATCTGGAGTGATAATGGAGCTACGCTGGCTTTACGTCGGTGCCACTAAAAGCAGAATCTGTCTCGCAGCCTTTAGGGATTACTTACCACCCAGCAACCTTGGCCTGTTCATGAGCCCGCAGCTCAGTCTGGATACGTGGATCAGCCCCAGGAAGGAACGACAATCGTTCCACTGAGGAAGGCAGGAGGGAGAGATGGTGGAGAAGAGTCTGTGGCAGGCAGCTGAATAAAAAAACAACTGGCCAATCCTAGTCTAGGAGAGCCATTTAGAGAAGGGGAATGAGCCGCTCCTCCCCTAAGCACAGTGGATGTGGTGGACTGAGATCGCCAGAGCACACTGAACTCGGAATAATGGCCGCAAAGCCCATCACTAAGGAGGAGCAGAAAGTTTGTCCCCTGGGGAGGGAAGGAAGTGAGACGCTGCTTGAGCGATCCCTTGGGGGGCACAGGAAATCTCCTTGTAATGTGAAC